AGTCCATGCTATTCTATCTCAAAACAACCCTGACTCCATTCTTCGAGTTTGGAAATAACTCGACGAGTTCTACTTCAACTAACACTTCAGGACCATCTTCAACCGACTCGTCGAGTTCATCATCATCACATGAATGTCTAGGCTTTCACTCGCCGAGTTGTATGAACAACTCGTCGAGTGCTATGTTCTTGATGATCATTATGGGTCCATACTGACTGAATCCTCACTAACCCCACTCACTGGTCTGACTCATAAACAGAAGGGTTTGGTTTTATGACCCTACTCGCCGAGTCCATGAACTGACTCACCGAGTTCTCCTTGTGACATCTTTATTATGTCGATTACAGTCCATTCTAACACCTCCAACCCATATATCTGGACTCCAAATGCTAGTATTGCATGTAAAGTTGCTAACTTTACGTGCATGCAAGGTGTTATGAAGCTAAAACACCAAATCCAAGCTAATATGAAGGTCTAGGTTATGGAATGAGGCTATGGTTGGGTAAAGCTACCCCCCAGAGCTCCTCAAGCTCAGAAATGCTCAGATCTCAAGTCATTTTCGTCCTCAAGGATCAAAGTTCGGATTGCCCTTGGAAATGGTCCCAAATGTGACAAAATCTAGGCTAGAAAGGGATCTAGATGATTAATAGTCAAGGCATAATCATTTTACCTCCAAATGGTCTGAAATGCTAGTCCAACTCTGGATCTATATCTCCTTCTTGCACCACCAAGGTCCTTCTTCCTTCTCCAAGCTTCAATTCACTCACAAGGAAAGAAACTAGCTCAAGAATGAGGTTGGGTGGCTAGGGTTTCGAGTTATGGACTATAGGGGCCGCAAATGAACCCTAGGGAAAAGAATGTGTAACGCCCGTAGATCCGGGCTAGTCAATTTAGAGATAATAGGGGTCGAAAATGATTTTTCAACAAAAGATTATTTATAATATATAATCTTAACCAAGTTGTATAATATGTCTCGAGGGTTCCGTACATATAAAGAATGCCAAAATCCGAGTTATAACGAAGAAGTTATGGCCCGTCGAAGTTTTTCAGCAAAACCGGCACGGCACCGGGAGACGTAAATAGTGAATTTAAGATAGAGAAATTTTTAGCATTATGGATCTAAATGAAAGTTGTATAATACGTATCCACCTATGCGTGGGTATAAAGAACGTCAAAAACGGATTTCGTATGCAAAAGTTATGGCATTTCGAAGATTTAGCTTTTAAAAACCCTAAACTAGCTAACTCACGACGTGAGAATTATGACAATCACGACATTCTGTCATAATTCGGAATCTAGAAGCTGCGAGAGGATAAGATCCAATTCACGACATGATAATTATGACGCTTACAAAATTATGTCATAATTTGGAATCTAGAAGCTGCGAGAGGATAAGATTCAATTCACGACGTGAGGCTTATGACACTCACGACTTGAGTCTCATAAAAACTTACTATAAATAGCATGCGAGCCATTCCGAAAATCTCACACCTTTCTTCATTTCTTCTCTCTAAACTTTCTCTCTCTAAGGGTTTTAACCCTCCCCAAAGCCTAGGTGATCCCCTAGCACCCTAAGGAAGCCTCGAGGCTCCCAGAGTCCAGAGAAAAAAAGTCTTTCGGTTTCAAAACGCTGCTCCAAATAAAATCCGGTTTTCTTTAAAATCCGTTGTAAGTGAGCTACGCTTACGCAATTTTTAATATAGCTTTCAAATAATTATAGTAATGTAATTAGATCCTTAAAATAATTATTTGTGCTATTATTCTGAGTTATATTGAGTGTTATTTAATGCTTATATAATAATAATAATAATAATAATAATAATAATAATAATAATAATAGCTAGACTATTAATTAGTCACGGTTGACGTTAGACTAAACCCTAATGGAATTGATACTAGGTTTTATCGAAAGAAAATTGTTTTGAGAGTATCGAAGCGCTGTCCGAGTGCTGAGTCACCACCTACTCAAGTGAGTGTATAGTCACTTTCACCTTACACATATATATGAAGTATTTTCTTTAAAATACGTGCTATGTGTAATTATATTAATTGTTTAATTAAGGTGACTGTTGAATAGATGTTTTATACAAGTTTTAAACTGTATATGTATTTTTATCTACAAATATGTTGGGTAAAACATGGGTAGATGAATTAGATGATGTGTGATGAGAGGTATCGATGTTTAAGATGATCTAGTCATCTAGAAGAGTGTAGACAACGGCCACAGACTATCTTAGATAGTCCAGTGGAACGTTAGCAGACTTGTAATCGGTAGGTATGTTTGAACTATATGTTTATAAGGTGTTCTTGAACTATATGTTCATTAGGTGTTTTTGAACTATGTGTTCATCCGTTAGTTCTTCTTTTTTACACTATTATGTGTTGGGGTACGGGAGCGTACGGGAGTACTTTATTAGTATTTTCCTTATACCTTTATTTTGAAGAGATTTGGAGTCTTTGTTTCTTTTATGAAGTGATCGGACGAGCTTCATTAGTCAGTGTTTCCATTCTCGATGCCGGATAGGAGTGAGTCTGGGGGTTATATACCTCAAGATATTCAGACCACAGCCTAGGCATTAGTTAGCGTTTCCATTGTTGGATAGGGTGCGTCTGGGGGTTATATACCTCACGATATTCAGACCTCAGCCTAGGCATTGATAATTACCCCAGACTTAATTGTCTGGTGGTTCTTTCTTTTACAAACAAAGGTTCGTGGTTAAACTTATTCCATTCATTTGATGTCTTCTTCGATCCTCGTTTGCTGCTAGGGAATTTCCGAAGCAGTTTCGTTAGTTGGTTATTCATATCGATCCTTTAGGCTAGATCTAGTAAGATCACTGTATAGGATCAGTATGTGGGGATCGACGTTGTTAGTGCTTGTAATATAAACCTTGAGCAGCGATGTACTTGGTGCCTATTCCTTAGGATGAATCCTTAGTAATGAGTGATAGTTGATTTTTAGGGTAAATCCTTAAGAAACGAATAAGATAATAGGGATTGGGTAATTGGGATGATTGTTTGATGTTTAAGCATAATAAATTTATTTATTATGGGGTAAAAACCTTATATTCTCACCAGGCTCCCAAGTCTGACCCACTCAGTTTAATTGTATCACAGGTATCGATACAAAGTTGCTTTACACTGAGAGATTAAGGAGATGTAGATCACTAGTGTAAATAAATGTAAGTTCTATTTATGCTTATGTTTCTGTATTGACGATGACATCCCAAATGTTTTAAAATGAATAAAATACGTTTCTTCAGAAATGCTTTGATAACGTATTTATTGTTTTTCTGGGAATAAATTCCGCAACATTTTTATTAAAAGAGGTACTCTGATTTTCATAAAGCATAAACAAAAATCGGTCTTTTCTGGCCGTGAAATTGGGGACGTCACAGAATGAGATGCTTAAATAGGGTACCAAGTCCCGAAATTAGGGTTTCCCAACCCAGACCAGACTCGCCAAGTCCACTCTTCGAGTCGGTCACTTAATCTTCCACACGGAGCCCGCTTCAACTCGTCGAGTTCTTCCTTAGACTCGACGACTTGACTCCTTCAACTTTGGGTTTTTCTTTCCTTTCTTGGTCTTTCTGATCCTGGGTGTTACATTTACAATTTATATTAGTATCTAGTTAAATGTCTTCATCATTTCATCTTCTCATTTTAGTCGTCCATTCACTACAACCAACGGTTTCAATTGAAATGTTACATAACAATTTTTTTTTGTCATTTTTACAAAAAAAAAAAAGTTAATGATTAAGGCTATGTTTGGTGACCACAACTAGCTGAAAAGCTAGCTTATTTTTCGATCTTTTTTAAGTTGTCATGTTTGACAAACCAAAAAAGTAACGTATAAGCTAACGTTTTAAAAAACTACTTAGGCTAGTTTTTTAAGAGTTGTTTTAAAATTTTCCAAATACACTCGTTAATTAATTATAGAAAACATATTTTTTAAATGGTCTTTTATGTTGTTATATAAATTTCAGATAACTTATCAACTAGTGACGGAGCCATGATTAAAGTAAAAAGGTATCCCAACAAGTAAAGGGGTATCCCCGACAAATTATGTATCTCTAATCTATTTTAGAAGCGTTAATGACCTAGGAGTGTAATAAGGTTTCAAATTTGTCCACATTAGATCCTTAATGTCTTTCTTTTACATATTATATTAACATGGTGTTACAACCGTTTAAATGTTGTCCCTTTAATTTTTAAAATGACAACTGTATAATTATGTTAGTGTAATATATAAAAAAAAAGATTTTAGAAACCGACAAATTTAAAAGCTTATTATCCTCTTAAATTATTAACTCCTAATTATTTCTTAAGAGTGTCGGTCCCATGTTAGACTTGTCTTACCTACTATGGTCCAACGGGTACGTCTTTTCATATGCCTCTTTTTTTCTAACTTATTTATTTGGCATACATCACGTTGTTTAAAAGTCAAAACTTATCAATGCGGCATGAGTGACTTGCACTAATTGAATACATGAATTTGATAGCATAATATAACCTATATCTAGTTTGGTTATAAATTCATTAATTCTTGTAGTTGTTGCCATGTAAAAAAAATTAGAAACCTTATTGGTATGTGAAATTAACTAACTATAGCCGTCGAGTTTGTGGATTTGTCACAAAATAAAGACTAAAACAGTAAAACTTTCGTATAATCATTCACCTTGACATGATTTTATATGCATTTCTTTTCCAAATATAATTGTTATCTTGAAAGAAAACTAAAGAAATTAACAAGTAATTTCTTTATACCAAAAACATTTTGTTTTGATCATATCTTATTATATAAAAGTAACTTCCCTTGCGTCTGTGTACACAAGATTATTTCGAGTATAAATTAAAAATGGTATATGACTGATTTTATGGAACATATTTTAATATCAAAGAAGTAGGTAGAAGTCTACATGATCATTAGATTTAACTTCATTACAAGTCCTCGCCTGGGATTAAATCCATGATGTCTTTCTAAGCTTTTATTATTGATCATGGTTATTCTCAATCAAATTCAAGGATCTTTATCGCCATCCCCAACCAAGTATGATGTTTTTCTAAGTTTCAGAGGTGTTGACACTCGTAATAGTTTCATTGATCACCTTCACAAGGCATTGTTGGATGCCAATATCAATACCTTTTTAGATGAAGAAGAGATCCAAACAGGAGAAGATCTTAAGCCAGAGTTGGAGAGCGCAATCAAAGCTTCCAAGGCCTCCATTATTGTGTTATCCAAGAATTATGCTTCTTCAACATGGTGCCTTGATGAACTGGTGTTGATCCTTGAGCAACGTAGGAACTATAAACATATTGTTATCCCGATCTTCTACCATGTGGAGCCCACAGATGTTAGGAAGCAACAAAGCAGCTTTGGAGATGCTATGGCTAAGCATAAATACAAGATGGAAGCAGAAATAGATGTGCATAAGAGAAATCAACAGGCATATAAGATGGAGTTATGGAAGCAAGCCCTTGTGGAGGTTGTTGATTTGAAAGGAATGGATGCAAACGGCTGGTAATTAATCAATCTTGCTAATATTTCCACAAGTTTTCCATCACTTTTGTTTAATTAACATCGTCTTTTTGATATTTCTTGTGTTAAAAGGCTACTTAAAAAAAAGTTGATGTCGCTGTTAACCAACCAACTATTTTGTTTTATCGTCACTAAGCTTTTTTTGTTGGGTCCTTAAACTTTTTAAAAAATATGTCAAAAGTTAATATTATTCCATAACTGAAGGGGGTCATTCAGTACATTTTGGTCAACAGACATGACATGTACATCACTTTTATTTTTTATCAAGTTAAGACGGTTTTTAAAAATAAACTATTTATAGTATCGTCAAATCACCAACAAACGGATTTTATGGCATGAAATGGGAATAAATATTTTTAATTTTGTTTTTACCTGCTTGAAAAGGTCATTTTACAATTTTATAGTATTTTTATTCCGAGTTTTAAATTGTGTTATGTTTTTAGTCCAAACTTTTATGTTTTTACAAATTCTGCTGAAAATTAGTTTTTCTTTACAAATTAACTTTTAAAAGACTTTTTTACAACTTTTATTTACCTTTTTATAAACAAAAATTTACAAATTTTTGTCCAACCTTTTCTTCTCCTTTGGCAATTTTTTAGCCCATCGTAACCTCTTCCGATCCATTACTGATTTTACAAAGATTAATATCACAAAGTCTGATACATACTTCTGTACATTTGTTAATTTTATTCGATGTGGAGCTGGCATAAACTTTAGATAATGGGAGTTTACTCAGTGATTAGTTAGTCAAATAAAACATAAAGTTTTCTTGAAGCTGTTCTAATGTTGTCATTGCAATTACTATTTAGTCGAGAAACGGTGTTCATTCAAGAAATTGTCATGAACATGAGCAGTAAATTAGATCAACGCATACGTGGTAAAACCCCACACATAATCGGGATGCGCTCATCAGTTAACATTATCACATCATGGCTAAAAGATAAATCCTCTGATACAGCTGACATTCTCACAATATGGGGAATGGCTGGGATTGGAAAGACATCACTGGCCAGATATGTCTATGAAGTGCATTATAATGATTTTGAAAGATGCAGCTTTATTGAAGATATTGGAAGGAGATGTACACAACAAGTGAATACATTGTTTGATTTACAAAAACATCTACTTGTAGACATTCAGAACGGAAATTTACAAAAGCTACATGATGTCAATTGGTGCACCAATAAGATTGAGAATGTTCTACTCCATAAACGAACGCTGATTGTTCTTGATGGCATTGATAATTTCGAGCAGTTGGATGTGTTAATTGGAACAAAAAGATTTCATCCAAGAAGCAAGATCATAATAACAACCATAGATAGGTCGTTGACTGAAAAGAGTGGTTTATTTGGTAAGAATATGTCACTCAAGCATACGAAGCACTTGCTTGAAGGATTGGATGAAACCGAATCACTACAAATTTTATGTTTGCATGCCTTTAAGTGCAATGATCCCAAGGAAGGATACCAAGAATTGTCAAGAAAGGTTGTGAAACATTGTGGAGGACATCCATTGGCACTTAAAGTTATGGGCAGTTCTTTACGCAATGAAGATGTAGTTGCATGGGAGGATGCCATAGAGTTTTTGGAGAAAGAACCAAATCCTGATGTACAAAAGTTCCTACAAATAAGTTATGATTCTTTAAGATCCGAAAACGAGAAGGAATTGTTCAAGCATATTGCTTGTTTTTTTGTTGGAAAAGATAGAGAGTTCACTGAAACGATACTAAAGGAGTGTGGTATCAAGACAACTTCAGGGTTCTCAAAGCTCATTGATAAGTGTCTTGTAAATGTTGGAGCAAGAAATGAGTTGATGATGCACCAACTACTTCAAGATATGGGGAGGGACTTAGTTCGTCATGAATCTCCTAAGAAGCCATGGAAGCGTAGTCGATTATGGCATCATGATGAATCATATGATGTGTTGAAACAAGATAAGGTAATAGAGGAGATACATGCGTCGTTATTTGTTTATATGTAAATTATTTTGCATTATACATATACATGAATTAATAAGTTAATTTGCTAATGTGTGCATATTTATTTTTCTTGTTAGGGTACAAATAAAATTCAAGGCCTTGTCCTTTCCAAGAAAGTGGTTGAGGATGATACTTTAGGTGGTACAAATACATCCACCAAGAAAATTCCACAGATTCATCGGCTTTGCAACTTTTTCTCAAAGATTTGGTGCTTATTTGTTTGGGTATTCTTATTGTGTTTCTCTCATCATGACAAAGTCGACTTAAGAACAATTGCACTTAGTAAAATGGATAAACTAAGACTACTCCAACTCAACTATGTACAATTCCATGGGTCCTATAAACATTTTCCAAAAGGCTTAAGATGGTTGTCTATGCATGGATTCCCTTTGAGTTACATACCTTTTGACCTACAAATGGAGAACATGGTTGCTCTTGATATGTCTTATAGCAATCTACAACAACTTTGGAAGAAGCCAAAGGTATAAAACATTCAAAGCATTAATCTTTTGGTTTTCTCAAATGGCTAATATCTTTTAATTTTCTTCAAATAGCTAATATCTTTTAATTTAATGCTAAAATCAATAGTTGCTTCCATCATTGAAGATTTTAAATCTCAGTTTTTCCAAGATTGTGAGAATCGGTGACTTCTCATGGCTACCAGCACTTGAGAGATTGATACTAACAAGATGTGCAAGTCTGGTTGAGGTGTGTGAATCAATCGAGCTATGCAATAAACTTGTTCTCCTTGACCTGAGTTATTGCATTAAGCTCAAAAGGCTTCCAAGAAGCACGAGAAAGCTGAAAAACATCAGAATTCTATTAATATGTGGTTGTACAAATCTTTGTGAATATCCATGCCATATGAAAGATATGAAGTCATTAGAAGTTTTGAATGCTAGAGAATTTAGCATAAACTCACAATCATCACCGTATGCCATTGTGGATGTGATACAAAAAAGTTTAAAAGGTTTTTCACTCTCCAACTCCTTAGTAAGATTATCCCTCAAAAACAACAATTTATCCAACGAGTTATTCCCCATGGATTTTAGCAGCCTGACAAAGTTGAAGGTGTTAAATTTGAGTTGGAGTCCGCTAACTTCTTTGAATGTGAGAAACCTTAGTAGACTTGAAGTCCTCTGTTTGGAAGGTTGTCATTACCTAAAGTATGTATCATGTATCAGTATGATCGCATATATGAATATCCATAACTGCAATTCACTAGAAAAATTAGAATATGAATCGGTGACAAAGCAAAATATCAGCTTTTTATCATCTGTATCCGTGGTTGAAATTGAAAGCATGCGAAAGGTACAACCCCTAGCACAAGTGAATGAAGACATAATCTGTAATTTAGGCTGGAAGGATTTAGTACATGTGAAAAACCAAAAGGTGCATATTATAGATGGAATCAGATGGGATACACCGCAGAAACTTCAAGTCCAGGTTCCTCTCTCTCTCTCTCTCTCTCTCTCTCTCTCTCTCTCTCTCTCTCTCTCTCTCTCTCTCTCTCTCTCTCTAACATACATACATACATACATGCATGCATACATACATACATACATACATACATACATACATTCATACATACTTACATGGATCTTAAGGTAATGATGTTCTAGAGAGTAGAGACATGAAATTAACTTGGTTTATACTAATTAGACTTCTTGATTTTGTAGATGCTATATGAGCTTGGAATATTTAGCATATTGTTCAAGCAAAGAGAGATTCCAGAATGGTTCAGTCAAAGAAGCAAGGGATCATCAATAACATTTATTGTGCCTTCATCTCCTTACAGTCTTAGGGGATTAAATGTAGGCTATGTATATACATACTCGCAATATGGTGAATGGGTTGATTTAATTCGTAATAAAACAAAGAACCTCCACCAGAAATATCGTCCTAATTTACAAGTGGTCAGAGTAGACGATGATGAAGAAAGCATAGTATGCATAAGACATTGGGTGATTGCTAATAATGAGATAGAAGAGGGCGATGAGGTTACTGTTGACATTGCACTTTCTAAGGGGAATGGTGTAATGGTAACTGAATGTGGTATAAATCTTGTTTACGACAACAAAGATGATGGTGATAACTCTTTAGCTGTTTACCAGTCATGGAAATAAAATATTTGTGCATATCTACAACACTTTTTGTTAATGATGGAAACAATTACAAGATGTACCACTTTAACAGTAAAAATCTATAAATTTCTTGGCTACATTGAGAGAACCGAATTGGAAAACAAAAATACTCGTTAACTTAATAAAGAACAAAAGATAGGTGCATCTCAAAACAAAAGAAAACATTCAAAACTTTGTTTGCCTTTAAAGCTGGCCCTAATCAACATTTTATTAACCCTCCTAAACCCATAAAGGAAATTATCTACTGATAAAAGAAGACTCCTAATTAGACTCCAAATTATAATAAGCTAAGATAAATATACAACATAAAAATATTGAACATTCCATGAACCTTTCTTTTTTCTCCTTTCCTGTATGATTCATATCAATACCTCCTCGCTGAAAATCCACCTTGTCCTCAAGGTGGAAAGTGAACATGCTCATCGGTTTCAAGGTCTACATCTTCCTTATCAACCAATAACTGGTTGGGTTTTATCGGGGTAGCGATGACCGGTGCAAATTTGCATTCACAACGAAAACAAAGACCATTAGCTCTTTTTATCAGCGAACTCCGAATTTGTCATTCTTTTAAAATGTATTTTGGTTGGTGCTACTATTCTATCTACGCAAACGTATTGGAAATACCTTGGTTTCTTACTACCTTGGTTGTGTGGAGTGTCCCTGTGAGTTTCGGCAATGTACTGTCTTGCTCTACTGTTAGTCAGGCTGGTTCGACTTATCAACCAGTAATGCTAATTTAATTGTTTGTCTGAGCCCCGCATATTGCATCATTCTTACCATGTTGTGCAATTTTGTTTAGAACCCCTTAATGAAGGTTCCTTCCGAAACCTGTTCTTGAATTCCTTCCAACTGTGCCACCAACTATTCAAACATACCAACATACTCCGGAGCTGACCCATCTTGCTTAATAGAGAGGAATTGTTCATATAGGTTGCCTTCGTGGGATTAATGGAACCGCTCAGGTAACCTTAGTTCAAGCTCATCCAAACTACAAAATCGTCCCATTTATGCTTGCTCCATCAGTACCATGCCAATATTGTCCCCTCTAGGCATACTACTGCTTCCCTTAGTCTTTTTCTATAGTCTTTCTCCTGATGTTGCTAACCCTTGCATGTAAAAAAAAATCTTTCTGCTTAGTACACCAAATTGCATGCATCTTCTCCTTTAAATAAGGGCATTTTAAGTTTTTGTAAGCAATAGTCCATACCGAGAACCCACCCGCACCCATAATCGTAGCTTGTGATTAGGTGGCTTGTGGTTCCCTATTACTAGTCCCTACACGCATATAGCTACGCATTATTTGGCTCTAGAGTGTAGTGTATGAGACCTTGTATGTGGTAGTAGGATGTTAGACATGTAAACTAGTGTAGACAGTTGTATGTGTTGATGTTCTTGTCTGATTGTTTGCTTGCTATATATATGTCGACATATCTGGTGGTGGGTTGAGGTAGTCCTGTTGTGTACTGTACGCCAAGATACTTGGGCGGGCCAACAATGTGTTGTAGGTCAAGTGCAGACCAGTTGTATGTTGTAAGCATAGGATGCGGGCCATGGACTGAAGACCGGTATTGTGCATTTAGGATAGCGGTCCAGATGTATTGTAGGCCTCACGAGGCGATCCAGCTTAACTAAAGGCTCATGTGTGCATGCATTGTATGTATATTGTGGTGTGTGGTATTTTGGGGGAACTCACTAAGCTTCGGCTTACAATTATGGATTTAATGTTTTCAAGTACTTCCGATGATCGTGAGAAAGAAAAGATGTGACTGTACACATTCATCTGCAGCATTGGAGTTTCACATTTAACCTATATCGTCCCTGTTTTCATATAATTATATTATGAACAAATAAGTTTTCTTAACTTGGGTTTAATGAAAATGGTGTTTTATCTTAACTAAAAATGAAAATTTTATTTGTGAAAATGAGACGTTACACCCTTCTCCATAGAATCTCAAAATCGCACAATATAATGTACTTGATGTTGTCGCTGGTAGGGATTTCTTTGATTGATATGTTTTTTTTGTAGTGAATGTCTTTATGACTTTGAATCCATATCATTTGGGTTTGCAACTTTGAGTCCCTAAAATTTAAGGCCTTGCGACTTTGAATCCCTTAAATTTCCATGATTCCGCTTCTGGTTCCACCTTTCCACAGTTTTATGTTGATCCAAAATTTGTCTAATTAACTATCATGTGGAACATATAGGAATTGAATGTGAAAATGTATCTTCATCTCTTCGCATCAATGGAATGGATGTCATTACGTCGTCTTCAAAACATATCATAACTATTTCAAGGGTTTCTTCATTGGTAAGACAATTTAGGGCAAACTAGCATCGATCTACTCTAAACGGTTTAGGGCAAAGTTGCAATTTACACTAAGAATCCAACCATCTTGATGAGAGCCATCAAAGGTTGGCCTCTTTAGCTTTCTTCCTCTAATCAATAAAAAAATATATTTATATTTGTACTTTTGTTGAAATTATTAAAGATAACTCATATTCCATGGAAATAAGAGACGTGTCTTTAGATCTCCCACTCATGAATCTACTCAATCGGTGAAGGTTGAGGTCTCCAATCCCACGAAGGGACGTTGATCTAAATTCTTTTAGATACATAACATTTATGTTTCCAATCGATATAAGTTGGGGAAAGAATTTCTGAGGGTGTCATTATCGATCCATTTATCTACCTAGAATATGTATCATTTCCCACATTAATTTGCTTTTTTATAACTTCTCCAATTAGGATGCCAATTTTCGCTAAATCCTCCTTGATACCTGTTATATTGTTCCAACCCCCCAACTATTGACCTTTACATACATTCATCATGCTTTAAATAGAGGTTGTGTATCCCTTTAATAATACAACTCCATAGTGAAGATGAGTCGGTCTTAAGACGTCACCACCACTTCACTATGAGTGCAATATTTAGGGCACGAATCTGTGTTTAGGGAACAAATTGATCCAGTACGAAGCCTCCCCCCCCCCCCCACCCCTAATAATCTTAGGTGCCATTACATTATCATATGATATCCAACTTCATTTTTGTTTTATTACTGACCCACACCATAAGAATTGTCTCTAAAGTCGCTCAAGGGTGTTAATTACACCCAATAGAGCAATAAAAAGTGAAAAGAAATAAGTAGGAAGATTACCTAATACTGGCTTGACTATGGTAAGTCTCTCACAGAATGATAAGGTCTTCGGTTTTCAAGATGAAAGCTTAGATTGGAACCTCTCAATGATCGGCTTCCAATTCTTCTTGAGGTTCATGTTTTCCCCCACATGAACACCAAGATAGGTAAATTGGAGGGTAGTCGATTGACATCTAAGGAGAGATGCCCACCGATTGGTTTTGCTCATTGAATCCCCGATACCTAAAACTTTGGACTTATGAAAATGAACTTTTAGACCGGATGAGACTTAAAGCAACGAAGGATTCAGGTTAAGTTCTTGATGTTGCTTTTGGACCATTCTCTCACAAATAAGGCGTCATCGGCATAGAAAATATGGGATACATAGTTTTTCATTATGGGAAATTTTAAACATTTGAATATACCTTTTTCACAATCCGTCTTCATGGATACATTAAGACCTTCCATGGCTATTATAAAGAGAAAGGGAGATAGAGGGTCGTATTGCCTAACGCCTTTGGAAATAGGAACTTCATCTTTCGGTGCCCCGTTAACAAAAATCGATGCTCTAGAGGATGAAAGACACTCATTGATCCACATAAGTCATTTCAAGCCATAACCTATTTGCATGAGAATAGAATCGAGGTACTTCCAATTAATTTAATTAAACACCTTATCGAAATCAACTTTAAATAAAAGAACTTTTCGCTTTGGCTTTTTCACCCAAGAGCATACTTCGTTAACAATAAGAGGTTTGTCAAGGATGTTTCAACCCTTCATAAAAGTCGATTGTACTTTGTCAATATTGTGCCTAATAACCACTTTTAGACATGTAACGAGAAGCTTGGCAATGATCTTGTATACGCATCCAATAAGAATAAGACTGATTGGACCGTAATCACTGAGTTTGAGTGGATCCTTTATTTTTAGGGCAACAATGATAAATGATGAGTTACATCCCGTGATGATTTTCCTATATCTCTTGAAGTGCTTCACAAAAGCCACAATATCGGTGTTTGACAACCCCTAGTAAGTTTTTATGAATTAGAAGCATCTCGCTCGGGAGCCTTTTTGTTACCGCACACCCAAACAGCCAAATCTGATCTCTTCCAAAGAAATAAGGGTTTCTAAGTTCAAACTAATCTCAGGGAAGGGAAGAGAGGACAGGATTTGGAACTGAATCTTCGGTCTCGAGGGCCATTTTCCATGAACTTATTCTTAAAGAATCTGAAGACTTTTCATTTTACCGCACCAACCTTAGTGCTCTATTGATCATTAATTATGAGCCCCACGTATTTGATTCTTCATGTTCTTGTTGTTACCATACCCATGAAGAAAAAAAAAAGTATTTTCATCACCATCGATCATCAACCACCAACTTTACACAAGACATTTGTTTAAAGTCGAGTATCATTCCCTTTTCCAATTTAATAATTTGTTGGTGACCGCTTCTTCGTTCTACCATCTCCAAATTAGAAAGCGATATGAACTACGCAACTGCATCTAGCTGATCAATCCATTGTTTTAATTGTTTCGTATCGTGAACCCTTTTGGATGATCAAGGCCCTCTAGTTCTTGATTTCATTTTTTAAGTGCCGTGACTTCTAACTAATTCATCTTATTTATACATCTCTCTAACCGATTAAAATCTCAACATGATAAATTGACTAATCTACCCTTACCATTTAAATAAAGTGCAATAACATAAATTGCCCTCATCTTATTTCTTTTTGCTTTCCCTAATCTTGTTTTCATGCTTTGCACTATGGTCCGTGTTCATCATTTGATAATCATTGGTTTGAAGACTATTGACCAATTTGCTTTCCATAGAGAAAAGAAAAGTGAGCTTCATTGAACTAAGAAGCCTCACTCAAACCATAATTAGACCCAAGTTGATGTATAAACGTTGCATACAATCAAATAGAATAATTCAAATTCTTAAGACAAATGGCACGCAATACTTATATTAAATGACTATTTTTCCACATAAATTTCAACAAACAAATTAAAATTTATGCAAATAAGTCCCTCAATTCGTATCCATTTTCAATATGGAATCTTTATTTTAACAAGTTGGACTAAAGAGTAGAATAGCAAATTAGCAACTAACACAAGATTTAATACAAGTAACACAAAACTAAAAGTAATTCCACAAACAGCACCCGATTTATAAAAAATTAGCAACTTTCTTCTAAAAACCTATATATATCATTGTCTTATAAAGATAAAAATAGTTCCTATTTTAGCCTTATACCCGTTTATGTCATATACCATTAAAACCAAAGTTCATAATGTTATCACAGGTCAACAAGATATGAGGGCAAAAAGGACATTTATATTGATTACCACCATCATTTTCCAAATCTTTTTGTATTTGTAAACATTCAAGTCTATCGAGTATTAACATACTAGTGATTCCTCATTGTGTGGCATTGGAAGCTTTCCATGGCCCTAGGTTGTATCTGTTTCAGAAAAAGACAAAATGATCAAGATGCATTAAGTTCTGTCTGGATAAATGACAGTGTCAGTGTCAGTATCAGTGAAACAGGGACGTATTTGTAAATTAACAAAAAAACATACAACGGATTAAAGAAGGTTGTAGAACTATTTTGAGGTGCTTGTTTTGTCTTGATGCACCCGTTTTGCCCTACGGCGTGTATGGCTTGTTTGGGAATTACGCGATCGCTTTTTTGACTTTTTACTGCCAAAACAAAAAAAAAATAAAAAATAAAAAAATCAAGAACCACATTTGAATAAACATTAGTAAAAGCAATAAAACAAACCTGAATAAAGATGACACCATAGTAAGTAGAAACATCACAGGGAAAACCATTAAAGCAGATGCCTACAATAATAACACAATAATCTCATTTAACAATAAAATTATATAAACTATTTTTAAAAAAATAATCACATTAAGACACATACCATAAACCACACAAATTCATTAGTTGCAAGGGCACGTGTAATTTCATTTTGCTTCATCACTTCATGTATGTTACCTCGTACCTTCCAAAATAAAATCCACATCACCAATAATTATAAATAAAAAAAATAAAATATTATATTCTTTTTGACTTTTTCCTTCCAACATACAATCAAACTAACACCACATTATATATTCAACTAAGTCTCCACTTAATCCATGGTTAGTCTAAATGACAAAACAACAAACAAAAGGGTAAAATTGTCATTTCAAAAAAAAATTACCTGTTGATGGTATTTTAGGGTGTATTTAGAGAGCCTTCTATAACCACGGAGTAATTTCTTGGAGTAAGGTTTTAAAAAGATGTGTGTTTTATTAACATAAGGTTTCAGTGTCTTTGAAAGCCAATTGACATAAGGTTTTGTAAACTTCTTAACTTCCTGCAAACACATGGTAAATGTTATCCCAATTTTTAATTTTTATACATAAATAGAAAAAGAAAAATAACAAAATGAAATGATTGGGTAAATTTCACAATAACAAGACCTTGATGTAAGGATCCAAAATGGCTTTTATACTGGAAATTTGAGGCTGTAATTTTTTCATGGATACATGGTAAATTTCAATAGTCTTGAAAGTAAATTTTTGTGCATGTGGTTCCATATTTGTCACTAATGTAAGCCATTGTTCCTTGATAATAGGAATCCATTTCTGTATATAAAAAAAAGATAATTATAAATAGATCAATCAAGATGTAAACTAATATTAATAAGAAAAGATAAATGAAAAAAAAAAAAAAGTTCTTACTGTGTGAACCATATCAATGTAGGGCCATGTCCACCTTTGAACTTGAGTTTGTGTTTCCATTGCCTAAAAAAATTTCATAATATTAATAATATAGCTTTAAAGATATTATTAATATTAGTTTTGCACTATTTTAATTTTTAAGTCTGTTTATCATGTGAAAACAGTGTTACAACTTACAACAATATCAGAAAGTAATTATATAATAGGAAAGAAAATAGTTATAGTAAAAATTCTAGAAAACCTTTTGAAATGCAACATCAAGAGCTGGTTTTCCATGCACATTCCAATGAGTCACCATGAAAGACTGCATATTGAGAAAAATAAGAAATGGAAATGTTTTTTTTTTCATTTATTTTAAAGCAAAAGGAAATGGGAATATACCTGAAAATGAATTAAATGAACTGCTAGCCATGGTGGAAGCCATGAATCATGGACCTGATGCATAAACATTTTTTTAAAAAACAAAAATATATAATGAAAGTAAATTGTTTTTTTTTTTTTTTTTTGTATTTTAATTTCATATACCTCTGAAAGTTCTTTTGAGAAGCGTGCAGCTTTGAATTGGACTCTGATTCTTTCTTCCTATAAACATATTGGAGTCTTTGAAATTTTGTAAAAGTAGCCAAAGTTTTAAAAAAAAAAAGTAGAGTTTTAGAAAACCTCAGCTTTCTTTAGAGCAAGTTCTGTATTACGGATTCTAATCTTTTGTTCTTCATTTGTCCTCTGAAGCTGGAAACAAAGATAAATTTATACAAAGAAAATTTTATACAGATAAAATAAGAAATACTACAAGTAGATGTAACTGAGTTATAATAATAATAATTCATGGGTACCTTCACAAGTTTCTCATTTAATTCTGCAATTTTTGTTTCAGCAACATGTATTCGAGCTTCAAGTGCATCTTTTTTTGTGTTTTGTTTAACTATTTCAGTTTTAAGATCTTCAACCTATTGAAAAAAGAAAATTAATTTAGGAATTGGACAATGAGATTATATCTTTTGATGATATTATGAACATCACCTGCTTTTCAAGTTCACCAGCTCTTGCATGAGCCTCACCCATTTGTTCCTTTGAATCAAAAGATTCCTTTTTCTGCAAAAAGAAATGGAAGAATCATGTATTGACACATCAACTTGATAACTTAAGATGTAAACAATAACAAAATTTGTTAGAGAATGACCTGGAGAGATTGAATTTCACTACGCAAGGAGGCCAAACTGTTTGATTTCTCAAGAACAGTTGTTTCCAGTTGTTTGATTCTTTCATCTTTGGAGTTAATTTCACGGCTCCTCTCATCAATGCTGGATTCTGAGAATGAAATCCTTGGAAAAATGAACAAATTTGTGCAGAAATTGTAAATGAACTCTCATTTCGATGGTACTTTTATAAGAAGATGCAAAGGAATTGATAGTCATTTGAAAATGGTTGAATAAGACTGTAAATGTTAGAGCATACAAGAAATGATACAGAGATAAACGTTATAGTTCATACCATCAGTTAAGAAACACATCTTACAGCTATAGGAAAAAGGAAAACCTAGAAACGATATCATCCATAATCACCAGCCTTTTACCAAAATCTAAGTAAATCAATTTTCGGAGTTCATTGTACATAACGAAAATGTTCTGTAACGGCGAAACACGAAATTGAGAAGATAGAAGCGAGACCTAAATTGAGAATCTTTGATAGGAGCTGTTCGTGCTTGATTTTGAGAGATGAATCGTCCGACTGGTCTACTTCGTAATCATGAAGGGTTTCTGATGATGCAAAGAGGAGGAGAATTAGGGTCATACAGAAGAATAGCCGTCGTTTCGGGGCCGCCATTGGAGTAAAATTCGAGCTCATAAATGAATGGAAAAGTTTTTTTTGCTTCCCGATTTTATAGTACTGGGAAAAGGGGGGAAAGAGGAAGACTTCCTTTCCATATATATATATATATATATATATATATATATATATATATATATATATATATATATATATATATATATAAAAGAACTTTTTTTGTAAGAAGCTAAAAAAAATGTTTGTAAAATAATAATATTTTTTTTAAAATTATTTGTTTTAGTATTTTTTTTTAATCCTTTTTAATTTATAGTTTTATTAATTTTTAAAAAAATATTTTTATATATTATTTTATATTTTCCAGCTAGTTTATCCTTTAGATTATAATAATAATAATAATAATAATAATAATAAATAATGGAATGGACATTTTTGGATCGATTTTGTTTGGGTACTTCATCCATTATAAGTGGTCCCTATTATATATACATTGTTTACAAAATGTGGTACCTTCTCGGAAGTAAAACGTCAAACTCTTTGATTTTGAAGAAAATGGCTTTCATGATAAAGATGTTATAATGTTGTGGGTAAGTTTTATTTACTTTAACTTCTTAAGGTTTGTTTCGATTTACATAGTCTAAATTTGATACACATAAAGATATTAAGACATCTAGAATACGAAGATTAATTCTAAAACTTATATAGAATGTATTTGAAATATAGAAAAATTAAGGTGAAAATGTGTATATATCTATATTTATTTATATTTATCTATATCTAGGTATCTATCTATATTTATATCTATATTTATCTATATCATATCATATTATACTAATAAATAAGGTATTTTTCCTATCACCTCATGCATTTGAAACTCCCACATAAATTTTCAAACACATTATGCATTTAAAACTCTGACACATTTTCACCTTCAAAATAATTAATCACATATCATGAAATGTTTTATAACTTATACAATATGTTTAATAAGAAATTATGGATAGTCTACTATATAAATGTCATTCTATTTGAGTGGATACACATATACAAATCATGTACTAAATTCACAAAGAAAACAAGTTTAAAGGTTTTGTGTTGGTTTGAGGGCTTTGGACAAATTTTCGAGCCATGTTATTATTTTAAAGTTTTTATTTTGTAAATTTGTTATATAATAATTCGTTTTTTATATTTTTCTTGGTTTAAGTATTCCTTTAAGATAATCATTGTACGTTGTGGTTGAAAGTTTAATGTAAATTAGATTAGATTCATATTATAGGATCATATATTATGGAAAGTGATATAGATAATATTAAACTAAATATTGTATACATGTTTTTATATTTGTGTTACTTCAAAGTAATAATTAATTAAAAATCATAGATATGCGATATTATCCATAGTATCTATGTAAGTCTCTTTTAAAATGCATATTGTTTATTTTATCACTTTATATTTTAATATATGTTTAGCATTTAATTATAATAATAAGTGTCTTTTACAAGCTTTTTTTCGTTTATTAATAATAATAGGTGTTTTTAAAACTAATGAACAATAATTATAAATAATAAAATCAAATTATGAAAACAATAAGTGTTTTTAATAGTAATATTAAGTATCTTTTAAAAGTCTTCTTTAATTTATTCATAATAATAAGTGGTTTAAAACTAAAGAACAATAATTTTAAATGATAATAACATCAATTTGTAAATTACATAACGTTAACAACAAATAAATTGTATTTTAAATAAACACCATTATTGAAATTAGAGAATAATCACATAAGTAAAAATTTAAATTAATCAATCATAACAAGTGCTAATAATAATATTAAATAGATAATTATATTTAATTTTATTAATGATGATGGTGGGTTGATGTCAATGAATAATATTGTTTAAAATATTACGTCAAAGTTAATGTCAATAAAATAACCATTTTAAACATATATTTTTCAACATTTTAACAACATATTTTTAACAGATGTTGCGCAACGTGCAGGAATTCGTCTAGTCATACATACTTATAAAGCTAGCATTTTTCCTTGAATCTCATGCATTTGAAACCCCCATAAAAATTTATCAACACCTCATGCCTTTGAAACTTTCACACCCTTTCACATTCAAAGTAATAAATTTCATTAATTTGAAACTATCAAGACTATTCAACTTATAGGATTTAATTTAACTTTTGAAATTCCTTTCACACAAATGTAGTTAGCCTATAAATACTTACTTCTATAGAAACAAATGTCCTAAACGAAAACACAATACTTATTTTGTCTAATTAGTGATCCTTTGTTCTATGTTTTGGTGTAAATGAAAGTATTATGTTGTCAATATAATATTAAGGTTCAATAATCTATAATAAGCAATGTATGCATTTCGTGTTTTTAATCAAAACAATTGGTTTGAGAACTTTCTAACAACTATTTTAAAAATTGAGACATGCAATATTTTATTGAGCATAAAGGTACGAGCAATTATTTTTTGAAAGGCAAGGCTCTACACCATCCATTTGTTATAAGTTTATATTATTGGGGGTAAAATTGAATTAGTGAATGGAGCAATCAAGGGTGAGGATTTAACTTCAAGTTTTATGATTCTAACTCTGTTTGAAATGTGATATGCATAATTTGTTGAACTTATTTATAAACACTTTGAGATTTAATGAATATTTAAGTTGAAGATTACCTCACATCTTGAACAATATGCAAGTTTTTGTGTTGAAGTTCATATTAAGATGTAGAAATTCACTTTAATAAGCTGACGAGTTTATCGCTTTATGAGGAAATTTGTAGTTTTTAATGATATGATGCATTGATGTTTTTAAAGATGATGCTAAAAACTTTACCCTTTACCGTTGTTAATTGTTGTACGTTTATTGTACAAGTTGTATCTCTTGGTTTTTAATTATATTGTTGTTATCCATTCACATGTTTCATATTCTTGAAAATGATCAATGCAGTGATTTTCTTAAATCAACATTAACAGAGTAAGGGGTCAAACACATTAATTGCAATAAAATAATAATTGGACTTTTATGAAGAAACACATAGCTCGAACAAGCTACCTCCACAACTTAAATCTACAAAAAAATTTATTAATAATTAATAATAGAAATGATAATAGATGTTGAAACTATAAAACAAACACCTAATAAGAAATATCAATGCTAAAATTGTTAAAATGTGTATTTTTTTTTTTTAGTTATTCGCTAATATTGTTTTTTATTTTATAATAAATGTCATATTAATGCGACAAACTCTTGATCTTTCAAGTAATTAACCAAACATACTCGATTTTTATAAACATAATTAAATCATTCACTTTAACCACCTTAATTTGATTTATTTAATACATTAAAATCATTTATTAGTCTAAGTTCAAACCAACTCTTCATTTTTCAACCTAATATATACATATAACTTATTGGGTAAAATAAAAATGGTTTTAAATCACAACAGTAAATCAAAATGTCATTAAGACTATTTTTCTAATAGTTAAAAATTATTTATATTTTTAAATATAAAACCTAAACTGAAATGTATATTTAATTAAACATCAATGTGAGACTGACCCACTTAGTAGAGGTTTTTCGTTTAGATTGAAGGTCTTGTGTTTTAATCTGAACGTTGACGAATATTATTAACTTGGTCATAGTAACTTCTAACAACTAAACACTCGTTATAAAAATCATGATTTTAAACAATGAAATTGCATACTGCGCAACGCACGAAAATTCATCTAATATACTTATAAAGGAAGCATTTTTCCTTTCACCATATTCATTTAAAACTCTCATGACTTTTTAATTTCTTTCTAATAATGATTATACGATTGTTAATAAGGTTAAATAAATATCAAACTTAAAGTGTAATCATAAATAAACTGAATTTCAATATTAAAATAATATATTTACTTCTACTTACAATGTTATATTTTTAACTTTTAACAAACAATACTTAACCTATTAGTTTTAATATGATGTTGTATGTAATCCTTTATCATTTTAAAACTACAATTTTTGAACAATTTGCTTAAAATACTTAAATTGTTAATTTAAATATAACATTATAAGTCAACTTAAATAACCCAAATTATATTTTGTAATTAGTTAAAAAAGATAAATTGTAGTGTCTTTCTAATAACGATTATAAGATTGTTAATAATATTAAATAAATATCAAAAATAAAGTGTAATATAAATAAACTAAATTTTAATATTAAAATAATATTTTTACTTCTACTTATAAAGTTATGTCTTTAACTTTTAACGTATTATACTTAATTTATCAGATTTAATATGTTGTTGTATGTAAACCATTAGCAGTTTAAAGCTACAACTTGTGAACAGTTTGAAAAAAATACTTAAATTGTTATTTTAAATATAACATTACAATGTCAACTTAAATATAAATTTCAAATTCACTTAAAAACCCAAAGAATATTTTGTGAATAGTTAAAAGTGATAAATTGTAGTGTGCTAAATGCAAAAACTAAATTGCAACTTCATATTAACTAAAATATTTCCTAAATATATTTTTATAATCTATATCATATCATACTATACTTATAAAGGATGTATTTTTCCTATCATTTCATGCATTTGAAACTCCAATACAAATTTCCAAGCACCTCATGCATTTGAAACCCCCACACCTTTTCACATTCAAAGTAATTAATCACATATCATGAAAGGCTTTATAACTTATATAATATATTTAAAAAGCAATTAATAGATAATCTATTATAAAAATGTCATTCTCCTTGAGTAAACACACAAATACATATCACATACAAAATTCAAAAGAAAACAAGTTTAAATGTTTTGTGTTGGTTTGAGGGCTTTGTATCATTTTTCGAGCCATGTTATTGTGTTAAAGTTTTTAATTTGTAAGTTTGTTATACACTAATTCTTTTTTTATATTTTCTTGGTTTAATTATTCTTTTAAAGCAATCATTGTATGTTGTGGTTGAAACTTTTATTCAAATTAGATTAGATTCATATTATCGATAATATTTAATTAAATATTGTATATATGTTTGTATGTTTGTGTTGCTTCAAAGTAATAATTAATAAAAAAAAATCATGGATATGCAATGTTATACATAATATCCATATAAGTGTT